CGTGGACGAGTTTTCCCGCTCTGTTGGACGCTGGCGGCGGAGCGCGATATCCACTGGGCAGCACTGGAGTTAAGATGTATTTTTCTATTTCGTAAAATTGTTTTGGTGTGCCCCATAGCTATCGCGCTCCAGCGCCAGCGCACATCGCGGCGATGCAACTCGTCCAAGCACTGCTTTTAGAAGTATTCTAATGATTCAGAAGCATTTTCACAGGACTTTTTTTACGAATTTTTACCTGAATTATGGTAAAACGATTTGAAAGTTGTGAGTTTTAGGATAGGCACTGGATTTAGCTCCTGCGCGTTTTTGGGCCGTATAAACAACCACTCCTAGTTCTACGGCTGTTGTCTATTTACGCTCTTGTCGCCCTGTTCAAACTGGTATACAACCCCTGTCTAAGGTTGACTACTTCTAGTTGGATGTGCCGCCTGTATCTACTGCAAAGAGTGTCCTAAGGTGAATTCAGTTAATACGTACTTGGAAAATCTGGAACACTGCAATTTTTATGAAAATTCATATTCTTGATCTGTATAGAACCTGTTTCGCAAGAAAATGCCTGTATTTGGGAAAATCCTTAAATTTTTTCCTGAAAAATAGCCCTCTCACCTTCTACAAAAGTAATTTTTCCATAGAAAGTTTCAAATATGACGAGAAAAATGACCTACTCTCGTGCCAGAATAAAACCTGTACATTTTATCACATGCCATCTTCATTCTGCTAAGAAAATTCTGGAATCTAGACTTCATTTAAGCTGTCGAATCGTAGAAAAACACCTCAGATGCATGGCTTCTGCAAGGGTTTCCAAAAAGACTTTTTTCCTTAAATAAATACGTCCCAAGTGATTACCTTAAGCCTAATCTGCACCTCGTCAGGTTTCCGACGTCTAGGGCCTCCTTGCGAGCTTCATCCAATCACTCGCTGACGTGGCCATTTCTCAACTGTCACTTGAGATCATCTGACGAGCCTTTTTCCTTTCTATTCATTCGAGTTTATTGCGATTTCGCAACACGGCTGTTCCCCTCGTGGATAGCGTTTTGTTGTTAGTGATTTTTAATGCTCAGTTAGAGTTCAGAGTTCTTATTTTGTAAAAGTGACCCTACGATCACCTTTGTCAATGGAGACAGTGCTACAAGCTTTTATGAAGTCGCTAGTACCTGGATAGTAACGCTATTACTATCCAGGTACTAGCG